GTCTCTGCTAATCTCCCCATTGATTTCCATCCCCCGCCTCTTTTTGCCAATCCCTCCACTGGTTTCCATCCTTCACCTCTCTCTGCCAATCCTTCTGCTAGTTTCCATACCCTGCCGCCCCTCACTGCCAATCCCTCCCCTGGCATCCAGCCCCCGCCCCTACAACTGCATCACTCAACTTGGAAGATTCAGTATATACTGTCTGTGGAACTGCTTCACCCCTTAATTTGTCCCGGTGACCCCCTGAAAATCCCAAATTTTGTGTTGTCACCTAAAAAGGAATAGAGTATAAGAGCCCAATGGGGACAGAATTCCTCCACTTCCTGTTGGGTCTACAGGACAGGAAATAAAGGGAAACCCCCCTAGTAGGCACAGATAGCAGTTTAGGCTTTAGATATACTTTATATTTTGCCTTCCTCATGGACTCTGAAGTAATTGGCAAATTGGCAACATTTCAAAGTAATGTTCATGATTTCACTGAAAGCTCCCAATTTTGCAAATCCCTACTGAACGTGCACACTGGCCTTTCCTTCAATCCCCATTGTTCACTCATGTGGAACCGCACATTTAGATCTGCAGGAAGAACCGCCTCGGAAATTCACGCCGGCGCTCTCTGCGGGTGTTTTATATGATTGTGTGCACGCAGATGCATGTCATAATTCCTGCTTTATGGAGACTCCTGTCCAAGAGTATCAGTTCCTGGGCCTCTCACCTCTTGGAGCTGGGCCTCCTTCTTTTTGGATGACAGATTGAGATGTTTATCCAGCATTGAGTAATACTTCTCGCTGTCCCTGTCAAACTTCTTCTTCCGGTCCTAAAAGATTGGCACCAAGAGGTCAGTTTATGTTTCATGAATAACACCTGCACAATACAAAACAGCTATATAAACACACACACACACACACACACACACACACACACACACACACACTATATAATATGGAACATAAGGATGTAATGCAGATTTCCTGGGCCACTGCAATTGAAATCATGATACTGCAATCACCCAATGACCCATAGAGACCATTTTCATAGAGTTGTTCTTTTAGGACAACTCCAAATTGTCCTTCCCTGCCTTTGTCTCATATCTGACCTCCGTCCTTCCCTTCAGTCTCATATCTGACCTCCGTCCTTCCCTTCAGTCTTCTATCTGACCTCCGTCCTTCCCTTCAGTCTTCTATCTGACCTCCGGCCTTCCCTTCAATCTGGATGGACATGTGTCTTTTTTCAACCTAACTATGTAACTTATATATCTGACCTCTGGCCTTCCCTTCAGTCTTTACAATGTCATTAGTATGTTGATGATGGAGGAATCAGGGAATACCAAATAGACCAAACATATTATATTTATTTTTTTAACCCTGTGTGTGAGTATATATATATATATAGTTTGGTCAATTGGGTTCACTTGCGCTTTTAAATATGATATAATACTTTACTTTTAGATTGTAAGCTCCCC